TATATATATATTTACAATTTTTATACACACATCAATACCTAACAAAATAATCAACACCCTAATCTATCCTCATATTATTGAATCAACAAAACTTTATTGATTATGTACAGAATATATTAAATAATCGCTACTAAAAAACAACAAAAGTTATTTAACTTACCTTTCCTATACTCTAATTAAATTAATCAAACTTATCTATACCTTTATCATATTATTCATTCAAATTTAACCATTATCTGATCTTCTGTTCCTGGTTTCACATGATGACGTCACGCAGCTATCTAGTTTATTAAATGTTTTTAATCAACACTATTCATTACGACTGCTGACAATAATCTATAGTACCGATTATAACTTTGGTTAAATTTACAGATCAGTTATAAGTGAGCAAATCAGTATAGTATAGGTTGAAATTAAAACCTATACCATACTGATCAGTTATAATTATAACCTAACGCTAATATATAAACATCGGCTCAGTATAGTATAGATTCAAAATTTGGCCTATACAATATTATAATCTGCATAATCTAAGTTATCACGCTGAACTAATAAAATTTAAGATTTTGCACCCGCACACTATTTCTCTCACGGGTAGGCCAAACACTTGTTCCTGGTATAATTTATTAATTTATTTAAAAATTTCTAGACAAATTTGTCTGAAATGCAAATTAAGAGCTAATAGTTTGAATTGATAAATTTAATAGCAATTAATTTTTTGATCTATGCATATTGTAATAAAAAACATGTGAATTATAAAATTTATTTTTTCATCACTAGCACAGGTGTTTTAACTTTCTTTAACCAGCAAAATATTAACCAAATAAATACGTATCTACAGTAATTATATTAAGTGCTATGTATATTCAAGAAATCATAAAGTTGAATTCAATAAATTAAAGGGTAATAATTGAGAATTAGGGATATCAGAAGGATTATCAGTAGATTTTCATTGCACGATAGGTTGTGGATGAACGCTATATGAAGAGACTTTCCTATCTCTAACTACTACTGAGAGAGAAGAATCAACCGCCCCAAATGGAACTTCAGGATCAAGCAGTTCTAAAAGCTTTTGAGCACCCGAATATGAAACAGTATAAGCATGCAAGCACATTGGAGCCACAGACTTATACAATCTATGGACAGAAGAACTTTTCCCGACTTGTTCACCCATAAATTCAAAGCAACTGCCTATGTATAACATTTCCCAAGAAGGAGGTAGGTCATGATGAATATCAGTCATAATAGCAGTAATGTTAAGCTCGAAGTCCACATCATCT